CGGAAGCAGCAGCAGGGGAATGTCCGCGCGGGCTCATTCTCAGGGACCCGCAAGGCAGCCCAGGGAGTTGAACGAACTCATCGGCCACCGAGCGAATGATGAGCATCAGACATTCTGGTTGACCAGGCAAATAGCGAGAATACCAAAAAAAAACAACATTCAAATCTGCCCCAGTCGAATTTCAAGGGCATGAAAACAAAACTTGACAAGGGATTTAAAAAGCGCATGTACGCTATTAACATGAGCAGCATTGAAGCCTTTTTTTGAAGATATAATTCCCAAAGAGGCAAAAATATTATTGCTGCTGATAGTCCTTCATCTTCACTGCAAAAGTAATAGCCTGAATGATTTTCATAGCAGTCAAGCAGTGAAATCAGGGTATATTTGGCTGATTAATTTTTGAGCATGATTGGAATCTCTTGAATTTCAAAAGAAAAGTTGCTGAGCCCATTTATCTTGAAACTTCAAGGGACTAGCAAAAAAATTGGCTTAGGGATATTTTGATTTTGGGAGGTTTCGAGTTAAGGAATCAGGCAATTTTGTTCTGGGAAGCATAGAAGAATTGCAGGAAATTGCAGTAATTGATATTCTTGGTATTGAAGTGCTTCTGAAATGAGTTGAAATGGTGCTGAAATTGAGGGAAGGGTTCATTTGCCCAAATAGTGCATAACTTCCTTTTGAAACACATCACATTACTTTTTTTATTGCTTTTCTCTTTATCTTGTGTCAATAAAAGAGCAGCCAAAAAACTTCAGAACATTTTAGTTGTGGAGGTTTGAGAAGAAAAGCTTTTGATTTTGGAGTATTTTTAATGCATTGTTTCCAAGGGAATTCTGATGGGAGCTTGAAAACATTCAACCCAGGCAGGTTTTCAACTCATAGGGAGGTACAAGTTATTGAGGATCAATTTTAATAAAGTTGAACCAGTTGAACCATGCTAAGTCTAACCTCTCTAAGTCAAATTCTTTTGAGTCCCCATCTGAATTCATTTAGAAATAATGCATTAAAAACCTCCCGAACTCAAAGGCTTTTCCTCTAAAACCTCCATAAGTCAAATGTTTGAGGCCTTCACGCTATCATTTTATTGGAACAGGAAAAAAGAACACAATGAAAAATGGGATTATATGTCTTTTCACAGAATGTGACAGACTGAAATAGGCAAATGAACCCCTGTCTTCAAGTTGAGTGCCCTGTCAACTCATTTCAGAAGTGGTCTTGGGTCAAATTAACAGGCTAGCCAAAAAAAAAAAAATCCTGACACTGCTTTGCAATGGAAAATAACCCTCCACTGGTGAAGGGATGGGAACTCCATCTAGCTGGAGCCACAAACCAAACAGCAAAAATGACAAGTTGGAAAAACCTCCATTGCACATAACAATCTTTTGAATATGAGATTTATTTTTGAATTCTGAAGTTCTTGCTTAGCAAAAGCTTGCACATCAACAAGTCACAAAGTGACAACTCACTTAGAACCTAAATCAAAAACAGCAACAGTTTAGCAGGAAAAAGAAAAACTGTGCAAGTTGTTGCACTGTGCAAGTTGTTACCATGCAAATTGTCTGCGAATATTCTTGGGTCTATATTTTCATGGGGCAATCCTTCGGACTCCTTAAGCTCATGCAATTTTTTTTTTATCCCAGAAGGCATGGGCCTCCATTGAAAAATATCTGCCAAAGTGCGACTCACCACGTAGATGTGAGTGGGCGAACATCGCTGAAAAGGTCTGCTCAGCATCTCTCCTGCGGTCAGCGGATGTGCTAAAATTGGGGAGGAAGTGCCGGGACCCCGCAAACTCCCCCCCCCCCTCAAACCTCAGTCAATATCCTCTCAAATTCTTGCATGGAAAACTATACTCCAAAGAGGGTTAGTGAACTCAGTTCAAAAAGTAAATATACTGTACGGCCATTTTTGTGGATAAAATTATTTATTTATATATGTGGTACTTTCATCAGCTGGCCTCAATTCCCCTCCTCACAATGCATTTCTCTCTCCAGGAAATTTCCGCTGACGTCAATATATTCTGACCGAGAATAAATAAATTACATTTCATAAATGATATTATCGAAAACTCAATTCATCATCTTATCCAATCGAACAATAAATTGTCATCATAGTCTTGAATAAACGTAGCGATATATACACATGGGAATTTGTCAACTGAATTTGGCAGAAGAAAAATCGGTGCGATTTTCTTGCGAAACATTTTCTGTTGGCCGCCTTATTATTGTGAGAGCTGGTCAGTGTAAGACAATCAGTCTAGCACCTGGTGGTATAAAAGGCTGCGTCATCTGGTCTGCTGTTATTTACTATATAGGAATCCAGTTTTTTTATTTTTCATTTTCAACTTTAATCTGAAGTGATGCTGATCCGAAGTAAAGAAGAAACTTCTTTTCATGTATTCCATTCAACTGTTTTTGCCTACTGACGACGACCAGAATATCCATGCTGACAATAATCTACGACTGGTGGGGTTTTCAAAATTTCGAATTGAAATAAAAGTCAGGTATTCAATTAGGCTGGAGTATTGTTGATTTTTGAGCTGTGCTGCATTCGGTTGAAAATTCAATTTAGCTTTCGTTCATCTTTCTTTATTCAGTTTTTTAACTTTTTTTAAATACTGGATTATTTTAAAAATTTATTGACGCAGTAAAAATTCACACGTGACCAAAAAAAAAATCGGTGAATTATAAGATTTGCGCACCGCGTAAGTGACTTTCATTTTGGAATGATGAATCAAATAAGCGAGGTTTTCATCAGTTTTATTTTGCCTTGGCATATGCATGTTCAAATGACCTCAACTCAGAGACGTTTTTTTATTGAATTTATCAAGTCAATTGAATCCTCGAGATCGGCCCTTTCTTCCAGCAAAATACGAAGATCACAATCTATTTCGGAGAAATTTAGATTCCTCTTGCACCTACGAAGACCTCGTGCTAAAAGTTCGGGGCAGCAAAAAAAAATTATCAGCTTCCGAGAACACGATAAGCACGAAGATTTAATCAAGATTTTCACATTTCTTCAAATTCAGATCTGCTTTTCGAAAAAGTTTCCTACATCAATCATACTTATTGGGATTTCAAAAACATAAACGAATGAAAACACGTGGGATTTCACATCGATTTTCCGGAACTGAATGTTTATCGCATTATTATGCACCCCATACAGAAGTTTATTCAGAATTGGACCACACAAGATTCGTCGTGAAGCTTGATCCTATACGCAACACGCGGCCCAGGAATATCCCTAAACTTCATGACTGCCCCTTTCTCCGGAATTCACGCTCAATTCCTCGCAATGCCTCCCAACCGAATCCAACAGGTGGATTACTACTAAATAGAGCGACGCGAAAAAAGCCGCCAAGCGAATCTTAAAAACCTTGAGCTACAAACCGTTTTTAAAATCATTTGAGCAGACTTAATTGAAAACGTAGCTCTTATTTGGAGTACTGTATATGAATTCAAAGGGATGGTTTATATTTTACTGGTGAAAATCTCGCTACTGCAGACGTCCGAAAATCCAAAGCAACGCTGCATTATGGAAACTCAGTTATCTTGAGATTTCTTAACAACCAGAAAAAAATTGAAAATTGTTTTCTGAAATTGTACGTTTATACTGGATGAAACCCGAGAGGCTGAGACAAATCAATGTAGTTCTGGTCCAATCAACATCATTCAACAAAATAAAGTTTCTCATTGGATGAACACTTTTTTTACATGAGAAATATAGAGTACAAAAATGTTGACAAAAAAAATTTTAAATACCCTATTTGGAAAACTGGGAAAATCAGGACAAATTTGGATTTTTTCACAGCATTTTTAAATTATTACTGTATACATTATTACACAAAAGTTTTAAAGGTGGAGTTTATTCATTTTTCCTCAGCCTTCATTTGCTTTCAGAACAGAGAATAAGTTGATGCTTAATTATTTTGCCGAAATCACTGCCCAATAATTGGGTTCATACAGTCAATATTTAGTCACACATCAAAAATATTTGCACGCTAATTAAGTTCCTCCTCAGTTGATGCTTGTGTTCAATTATTACTATAAACTGTTGGCCTTGTATGATATCTCATCAAGGATTCTCTCTAATTTGTTCATTCAACTAAACCTCACACAGAAACAAGCTGAAGACCTTGTGCTTTAAATTGATTTTTACATCTATTTTGTTTTCAATGTCAGGGAATGAATGGGTGTATGCATACATTTTCATCCAGTATAAACGTACAATTTCAGAAAACAATTTTCAATTTTTTTCTGGTTGTTAAGAAATCTCAAGACAACTGAGTTTCCATAATGCAGCGTTGCTTTGTATTTTCTTTTTTTGTTATCAATTTGTGCTCTGTTTCCTGCTCTGAAGTATTTAAATGTCATTGAGTGGATTTGGGTAGGGTGAGAAGGGGGTTGGGTTGTGGAAATCTTGATTGAACCATGTGACTGCTGAAAAGCAGCAAATAAAGTGTTCTGTTCATTCATTCATTCATTCATTCAATTATTTGCTAAGAAATTTAAAAATCAATTATTTTGCTTGAAGGTAAAAAAAAAGGTTCAGAGTAAAACATGGTATTTTATGTTCCTCCACCAAAGATAAAAACCACACAAACGCACAAAAATGATAGCATAAGAAACGTCACTTTCCAAATTTTTTGAAGAATTTTCTTTTCTGTACACAGCACTGATGAAAGACCGAATAACACGGACACTAGGTTTCATTTTTCAGATTTCTCCACGACATGGATGAAGAAAGCAGGATCCTTGATTTCGTCCAACGGCGCGAAATCTCCGTAGACAGTGACTTCAGCTTTCCCGTCAAATGCTTCCAGAATCAGTTCCCGGAATTTCTCTCGCAAATGTGGGTAATATGACAAGCGGAAGTGACTGCGGAAATTCGACGGAATGCAGTACATATAGTTTAATAAATAAATAAAATTATTAGCCCATTGTAAAGTGACGAGTATTAAATTTTTTCCGGAAAATTCGTCCTATAGAGACGGAGATAAATCTCCCCACTCTCATTACCAACTTCCTCACCTCGATCGTTTATTTTCCAGTTGCACAGATGTCGCCGGCATATTCATGAAAAATATTTTTCCAAGCACAAAAAAAGTATGAGCGAAAATCGGACGAGTTCGTTGAACTGCGGCGAATAAATCTGTTATTTTCTGTCAAGCTACTTCTGGGAGGGGATTTGAGAAGAAAAAAAAATTACTCACTTGACGGCTTTGGCGTTTGACAAACGACCACTTTTCGCAAAAACCGTATCCGTTTCATCACGAGACCCCAGCATTTCGGAAATGTCCATGGTGTAATCCAGAGTAACCATCGTCGGCGAGCCGTTTTGATACAACACTGACGTCTTTATGTCCTGCACGTACTTGCTCTGAAGTTGAAATAATCAATCAAAAAAATTACTTATCCGTGGTGAGACTTGAAAAGACGGAAGGAAAAACACAATACGGTTTGAACAACTCACGTTGTAATAAATGTTTTTATCTGGCGTCAACCCGGTGGCAACCGTGTAGTCATAATTTCGGTGGTCGATGACGAAAAGTCCTCCGGGTTTCACGAACGAAGCGAAATTCGAAATAGCCAATCTGAAATGTAATTTCCGGGAAGAAGCACAAAAAATATTACGAAAATTCGGGCAATTTCGTTTTTTTTTTTAAATTACTTTTGATCCTTTTGCATTCCACTGAAGTCGGGCAAATGTGCAAAGGAATTTCCCATGCAAATCACTGCGTCGAAGCCGCCTTGCGCTGCCACTTTTTCAGGCATGTTAATGTCGTCCGGAAGTGTCAGCCAATTTGCTTCCTCAATTACTGCGAATCATATGAATCATAGTAATGTATTTGATTTTTTTGAACACCCCTCCACCCCCCACCCCTCTTGAAGAAAAAGGAAACCATTTGATAAATTGTAACTGAAAAAAGTTAATGAGTATCTATGGTGGGGCCACAAGATCCAGACACTATTATTTCTCAGACTATGTCTGTATACTGGTGGTGCCCTAAAATTTGACCCTAATCCATTGCTTGACTATGGTCAAATTGCTAAGTGGTCAAATTGTGAAGCAACGTCAAATGCAATGTTTTCTACATTGCATTTAATATTTTTGCCCATCTCTTTGGGTCCAATAGCAGGGCCTAGGTCAAATTGTAAATTGACCTCCCAGCAAATTTGACAATTCAATTGCAGGATGGTTGAATTGCAGGAGGTTGATTCGCAACGTACAACCTATATATTGTATTGGAAATTCTGGATGTTGGATCACATTTTCTTATAGACTTCAATGGAAAAATTGTAATACACTTTCCCTGTTTGGCAAAAATTTGAGCCTTAGAGGTTCTCTAGAAGAGTCTAATCTTGTTACAACGAAGCATTATGAGACCTCAATTAAGCTTTGTTATAGAAAATGAAAGTTAAAAACAAAATTTAATTTTTTAAATATTTTGGCTATTGAACACAGATAAAAAGTAGTTGCAGAAATGAGTCCTATGTAATGAGATTTGATGCAAGAAGATTCTACAGAAATAAACCAGGGGTAGTCTAAGACTAGATTTTAGATTTAAATCAATACCCAGCACAGAAAAAATGCTAAATACAGTGTTACCCCAAGAAGTGTGAATACTACTTCTCTGATTGTTCCGTATGACAAAAAAAACTGCATGCCAGATGATATTTCTTCAAAAAGTTGGAATAAGAGCAGTTTCATTCACTGCTCCTGGTTGGCAAATAAAATTGAAATTTTCCTCCAATATTTAATGGAACTATATCTGTAACTGTAAAACACAGAAAAATCTTTGTGCTGATTAAAACCACAATAAATCTGTTTAACTTCCACAAAGAGCCCAGCAAAAGACAAAAAAAAACTGACATCAATATATTGTAGTAAGTTATTAATCACAGCTGATGGAAAAACCTTGAAAAGAATATTACTAAGTTAGCCTGCTTTAGAAAGAAAAGAGTAAATTTTTCTTAAGATGTACTTCGACTCATGTCACTTGCTCCATTTTTTCAAAATAATAGAGTTTGACTTTCTCTACAACAATNGAGGGTCTTCTCGGTTGTTCCACCTGGTCTTCAACGCATACTTGAGCATCTTGTCCGACGCATCAATAGAAACCATTTCGAAGCCACTTTCAAGCAACAGGATAGAATCAATGCTGTCGAAAAAAAAAGGAAATCACTTCCTAGCGAAAAAAAATATTTCTGGCCTGATGTTATAGGCAGATAACAATAGTTTTCATTTTTCAACCTTTTTTTTGTTCATTACCCAGTGCCGCATGCGACGTCAAGCACGTATTTGCACTTGTGGCTCTTGAGCAGGTTGACAAGGAAGTCTTTGTAGTAAGTAGTTCGTGACGTGTGGTCGCCAATGTAGAGTTCCCAGAGTTTTGCAGCGACCCCGTCTGCATATTGATCAGGCAACCCGGAAGCCGGGGCACCCAAAGAACGCGTGCGAAACACTCCGTCCGCCATTTTCCCGGCTCGAATAGTTTTTTATACGATATTTTGCACAATGCTGAAATATTCGGAAAAACTTGCTTGCAAAAATGTTCAATCAACCACAGTAGAGGCGTCCCCAAATAAGCCATCACTCTCAGCAAACTGCCAATTCATTTTGAAAAACATGTGCAGAATTTTTTCACTGCCTTATAAGAAATAATTAACGAAACACTCAGGCAATAGCTGGCGCGTCTTTGGATGCGCCTGAAGCTGCAAACAATCCCCTTGACAGGGCTTTAAGTTCAAAACACAAATTTGCAACTCGTCAAAACCATTAAAAATATCAAGAAACAAGCTCATCCTTGGACCAACGACTTTTCCAAGGGGTCAAATGACCCCTCATTTTTGCCCATTTTCAAGAAGATCAAATATCCGGAAAGGGACCCCAGACTCCAGCTGCTGGTTGCTGCTTGTACCCTCCTGTATTTTTTACTATGTTACCATCTTCATGTTGTGTCCTGTGATGATTGCTGCCAAAAAATCATGTTCTCCCTGACACTTAAGCCATTTGTCCCTGTCTCCTCAAACATGCGCAGCCTTGTAAAAACTAGTAAATTAGAAAAACACCCTGTTTTTGGGAGAAAAATTTACGCCCCCAGTGTCTCAAATTTTTTGTCTCAAAAAACACCAGCACCTGGTGTTTTTCTGTATCCAACACCCAGCTCCTGGGACACCCTGCAGGTACTTCTAAACCCCTCCCCAATTTTTGAGCATAAAAACCCCCTGATTCTTTGGGCAACACACAGTCTGATTTTTGCTCTTGTTGCGTCACATCGTGTTTGTGAAATTTGTATTTGCTGAAAAATTTACAAAGTCTGCAAAAACTGTTGTGCATATCTTCCTGTTAAAAACTGTTGTGCATATCTTCCTGCTAAAAGCTGTTGTGCATATTTATTTTGTACTTGTTGATTTGAACAAAGGCTTGCGCTGTTTGGGAGAGAATCCCTGGTTGGTTTGTGCACTGGCCAATTGTTGTCTTATACTTATTCCTTCTACTATTTAGTACCTCTCTGACCATCTTTTAAATCAATATAATTTACTGTCATTAACTTCTGAATCCTTCCTTGCTCATATAATTATTAAACAAGGTGTACGGCTTGTCACAAATTAATTCTTTGTCTCAATAAAAACCATACAAAACATATCTTCTTTCTTATTCAACCCTTGAGCAGCAGCAGGCTTTTTTGCATTGCGCTGCAGTGCTGATAAATCTTTGCAGGCTTCTGCATTTCAGTTTGACCAGAGGTTGACAAAACTCAGCTTTTTTGGCTGAGTAGCCAGTTCTTAAAAATCCTGCAAGATAAAGTCATTGTTCTGATAATCCCCCAATGCTAATCCTATGGCAGGAATGCAGAAAAAATGCCAACAGCAGTAATTTTTTTCTTTTTCTGCAGGAATGCTGAAAAAATGCAGATTTTTCCCCAGCTTTGGCTCATCTAATCATTTTTGTTTCTCCCTTTTTTCTACTCATTGAGGCACATAATTTTGTGGATAAATCCTGGCATTGCTGCCCAAGGGTTAATGATGTTAACATCAGAAGCCATAAGTTGAAACACCGTGCAACATCTGCCAAAATTATTGACAGCTCAAATATGCTTCTGTCAATTAATTTTATCTTTGATAGCCCACCAACAAGATGCAAGTTTCTGTGAAAGGTCTCAAATAATAAAAAACTTCAAACATGAAGATGACATAATTTACTTCCTGGGAATATCAGCTGAATATAATTTAGACATCCAAGGGCATTTGAGATTGTTTTTGGAAAAATACAAATTTACTTTATATTATACCTGGGTTTCATATTATTTTGGTGTTAAGAAATCATTTTATAAGATATGCATGTTAGGACTTAGGTTAAAAATGTTCATTTTCAAACTTCTAATGTAAATAAGACCATATGGAATTGCATTGACCCCACATGGCTTTGGGTTTTCATGAGACTTGTGGCACTGGTTGTGCAAAATTTGCTTGGCAGCAAAGGACGCCGCCACGAAAAAAGAGGGGTCCGTTGACTTGAAATTTAATCGGCGCATCTCGGGATGCGCCGAAAAAGACGAGAACAAGAAAAGTTGGCGCCCCAAAAAATTGGGGCAACCGAAAACCCAAAAATCCTGAAAAGGAACAGAACAGAAAGAAAGAATAGTCCCCGGAACCGGGGCAACTCGAGCCGCTTGTAAAATTTGCGCACTCGTAAAATAGGGAGATGTCTCCTTC